ACCAGTGCTGCTGCGGCGTGGCCGTGATAAACATCTGCCCGAAATAGATAAATACGAAGAAGTAACCAATAGGCAGCATGGAGAGGAACAGTAGCTTCTGGTAGAGACCCATGCCCCCTGCGTGATGTAGGACATTCTCCAGCGCGTCACTATCCTCTGCTGCGTCCTTCTTTATTTCTTCTTTATCCTTTGGCAAGAAAACAGACGACAGAGATTACGATAGTGATTTAGCAAACTTTATATTTCTTTCAGCTTATCTATAATTATACAACATTAAACCGTTTTTCTATTATGGTATTGTTAAAACATTTTAAAGTAATTTTAATGTTAAGAATACGTGATATTTTTCTAATATAAACAAACACTTCCTTTTAAACTGAATTTATTTATTTACCTAAGTGGGTTTTAAAAGTATTTCTCCCAAGTAAGGGTTGGCAACCATCAAGGGGCCGTAAAAATTAAGCCAAAACATTAAGGTTTACAAATAGTAGAGAGTCGAAAGCACGTGAGTGGGGTAAGGAAATACGGTGATTGTAATTTTAAAATTATTGTGAAATCATTCATTTTATTTACAAACAATTTAGAAAAAAAAACAAACCTCGACAACACGATAATCATCTTTACGTATTTCCTCTAATTTCATTTTGGGCACAATAAAAAAATTAGTAACAAAAACAAAAACGTCCGTCGATGTTTACACTTCTGTTATTTCAGACTATCGATATGAACGAGGCGCATGTTAAATACGTTACATTTTGCGATAATATTTTTGGTAGTCATATCTTTGCTCGTCGTAGATTGGCTACACGTGTGACAAATTATAATTTGAAGATGTTATAAAAATATTGAAGCCAGAGTATGAGAAATAAAGAAAAGTCATTGTAAGTGATCTTCATCCTCCTTATCCTACTCCCGTAAGGTCGGCGAAGCTGGTTTTTATCCTCCAAATAACTCTATCATATGTCATCTCAGTCATCACTCCCTTTTTGATCATGTCACCTTTCACGCAATCCATCCATCTCTTTCTAGGTCTACCTTTACCGGTGTAACCTTCCACATTAATAACTAACGTTCTCCTTGTAACATGCGATTCATCACCCCTCATATCATTTGATAAAATGAAGATAGTCTGGTAGCCACGGGATCTTAGCCTACATTGAGTTTTAGACAATTTTACGCTCTCAACACTGGACATGCCGTTAGGTCGTTATGCATATTTACATGCTTTTTTAATAGCTAAGTAAAATATTATTTAAATATTAACTCTTAAAAATCAACTGTTCAGAGGAATAATAGATCGAAAAATAAAAATTGTATTTTTTTAAGTTTTATTTAAATACATACATGATCTCTTTTCAATTGTAAAGTAATAATTAAGTCTTTAAAATAAATTAAGTACATATTACAGGTAACTTAATTACTTGAATGATCAAAAAAATTACACAATTTTTACAATAAATTGCTTATAAGTTGTACTTTGTTCCGTTATACGTAACAAAGCTTTAAGTTATATTTGTGAAAATACTTGAACCTTTTCAAATAATAACGTTTCTTAAAAAAAAGGTTAAATTGCGTATTTACAATACAATTAAAAACGTTTACAATTTGACCGTTGCATTTTAATGTTATTTACATTATTGTATAAGGTAAATTATTCATTTAATATCACAGTAAATGGATCCTATTATTAAAATACAGACTGAGAAATATTTTATAATTAAATACAAAGTTAAAACTTGTAACTTTTCAACATTTGTGTCAACCGAGTCGATTTTAACTGTAGCTTATTGACTATTTGTATTTTAAAAGTAATTCGACAATTTATAAATAAAAAATGTAAACTAAATGCTACTCTGATATGTCTTCCGGACGAATAATTTAATATTTTCTTAAATTACTAAGAATCTGTAAACGCGTCACACGTTTGACTAAACTCGACAATCGACAATCGCACAATTGTTGTGGGATTGTCGATAGTCGACTGTTTCGCAGCCAATTCAACTGTTTAGTTGCACAACTAAAAATCGAGTAATATGCGCACCTCCATATAAGATCAAAGGAATGAAAGCGAGAACAGTTGTGCTATAGTTTAGTCAAAGATGTGCGCGCTCTAAGAACACTTACTGCATAATATCAATCATATTGTTTCAGGCAATTTATACTTAATATCGACACTTAATACAAAATTGTTGTACATGGTAACTGTTTATCACTAACTAGTAAGTATATTATTCCAAATAATGTAATGTAATAACGCTAACACATCTAGTTTACAAAAATTTAAGAAAAATATAATTTTTCGGAAGCTTGGTTGCTCTCGTTCAGAGCAATTTTCGCATGTCTCATCTAGTTAGTTTAATATCGTTACGCGAGCCAAGTTACTGCCTACGTGATGAGAGCCTTCTGTTTTTCATATTTAAATTCTTCTTTATCCTCAGCTTTTCTGGAAAACAAAAGATAATGGTTCATTTAATTGGATATGAAATCACATTATTAGATTTTCTGACGTCACAACAAAGAGTTTCTTATGATAACTTCAAAGTAATGCTTAGTTTAAAACTTCTTTATTGTTAGTCAACGGAACATAGCGTAGACTACTAACCCGCAGACGGTGTGTGACCTGACGAACTTCTCGCCTTCGTCGATAGTCTGCGGCATTGGCCGGCCCATGGTCTCCGGC